GGAGAGACTTCTTTATTCCATGTTCTTTCCTCCTTTGTCAAAGATTAATTGACCACAAGTTTGCAGGTTTATTTCTGGGCTCTCTATTCTGTTCCATTGATCCATATGTCTCTTTTTGTACCAATACCATGCTGTTTTGATTACTGTAGTTCCATAGTACTGTCTGAATCTGGGAGGGTTATTTCTCCAGCTTCATTCTTTTTCTTCAGTGTTGCTTTGGCAATTCTGGGTCTTTTGTGATTCCATGTAAATTTTAGGATTATTTGTTCTAGTTCTGTGAAAAATGTCCTGGGTAATTTGATAGGGATCACATTAAATCTGTAATTACTTTGGGTAGTATGGCCATTTTAATAATATTAATTCTTCCAATCCAAGAGCATGGGATGTCTTTCCATTTCTTGAACCTTAATTCAAAAAGATACACACACCTCAATGTTCACAGCAGCACTATTTACAATACCCAAGACATGGAAACAACTTCAATGTCCATCTACAGACAACTGGATAAAGAAGTTGTGGTATATTTATACAATGGAATACTACTCAGCCATAAAGAAATAATAAAATAATGCCATTTGCAGCAACATGGATGCACCTGGAGATTGTCATTCTAAGTGAAGTAAGACAGAAAGAGAAAGAAAAATACCACATGATATCACTTACATGTGGAACCTGAAAAAATAAAACAAAAAAAGACAAATGAACCTATTTACAAAACAGAAACTGACAGACATAGAAAACAACCTTATGGCTCTGGGGAGGAAAGGGGTGGGAAGGGATAAATTGGAAGTTCGAGATTTGCAGATACTAATATATATATAATAGATAAACAGTAAGTTCATACTGTATAGCACAGGGAACTATATTCAATTTCCTGTAGTAATTTATGGTGAAAAAGAATATGAAAATGAATATATGTATGTTCATGTATGGCTGAAGCATTATGCTGTACACTAGAAATTAACACAACATTGTCAACTGACTATACTTTAATAAAAATACACAGAGAATAAAAAAAACAACAAGAACAACAACAAAGAATTTTTTCTCCCACTTAAACAAAAAACAACTAGTCTGCAGTATATTTAGGGCTTTCTAAAGATCCTCTAAATAATTCTTGTGACAATATTTCAAAAAAGGCTCAAACCAACTATATACATTTTCTATTCCAACTGCTAAAACACAAAACACAAAACTTAACCCAATATATGAATATAGCACCTGGAGGACACATTACTAGAGGACAAAAGAAATCAATAAACATTTGTATTCACAAAACTAAAATGTCACACTTACTGGTAAGGAATTTTGTCCATAACACCACCACTGACCAAATGAGAAGAAATTAACAGGAACATCTTTATACTCTATTTTGGAGCGGGGCTCAACAGCAGTTCTGCCTTAAAAACCTATTTTAATTTGCAGAATTGTTTATTCCTTGGAATATCTGGTTTTAATATGCTCCAATTTTCATTTTCTTGTTTTGAGTAATTTTAATTAAGGTGGGATTTCCTAGGGTCACGTTTAACAAATAAAGCTATATGCTAAGGTTGTTGAAAATCCAATCAGAAAATTTTTTCCTTAAAAGTGAGGAAATATAGTTATTTCCAGATCTTCTATTTACATAACAAATAGACTATTTAGAGTAATCACCCATTTTTTATTTCACTAAATTGTAAAGTCACCCCCCAAATACGGCAATATTATAGAAAAAGGATTCAGAATAACAAAACGTAGATATTATATATTCTTGTATTATTTCAACAACAGGTATTTTATCTTTTCAGATGCTTGGCTTCATTCTAAAGCTATAATATTCTCTATACCAAGCCTGATTATGCTCAGTTTATTTATATACTAGAAATCAGCTGCCTGAGAATTTTGTTAAACATGTTCCTTCTTCAGGAAGGAGAGAAAGGGAAGGAGTCATTCAAAATAAGAAGAGAGTAGATTAATTTTATCCCCTACAATCAGTAAATGAGAGGAAATATTCACTATCATAAGAAGAAAAAAAAGACTGAAATCTTTAATGGGAAATTCAGTTGTTTTTCAGGATAATTACCTCTACTGACTCAAATTCTCTCCCCAGCATCTTCTACCATGCAAGTCTTTACTTCCTATCTCCATGTGGTTGGAATGAAGTGACTGGGGTCTGGTCCCATGGCTCTTTTTACCACTCTTATGACACCTAGCCCACACTGTCTTGTACCATAATTAACTGTGAACACCAAGGCATAAAAAGAATAGGATAGGAAGAGAGCCTAAGGCTCCAAAATGCTAAAGGTATCCTGATTTTAGTGGAAATTAGTGAGAAGAGAACAGATTCTAGACACAGTAGGGTAGTAGAACTGAGATAACATTCAGATTGAATTCGGATGTGATTCAATGGATTGGACGTGGGTGGTGGGAATGAGGGGAGGGATGGCTGGGATAGGAGGATGGAAAAGATAAGGATTTTAAAAGAGAAATCAAGAATGATTTCTAGGTTTTTGGCCTGAGGACGGCCATACTATTAAACAAAATGACAAAGGCTGAAGGAGGAACAGATTTACTGGGCTATCAAATCAAAAGAAAGGCGGAGTAACAGCCCCCAAGGGTGTCCCTGTCTAACCCCAGAACCTGTGAGTATGTTACCTTACCTGGTAAAAGCAACTCTGCACATGTGATTAAGCTAAGTATTTTCAAGATGCGGAGGTTATCCTGGATTATCTGGGTAGGCTTAATATGATCACAAATCTTTTTTAAGAGGAATGCAGGAGAGCTGGAGTCAGAGATGTTTACGAGACTATGCAGAAGACAGAAGAATGGAAGGAGAAGAGAGGAACAAAAAGACTATGCTGCTGGCATTGAGGATGGAGAAAGGGGCCACAAGCCAAGAAATGCAATATACCTCTGACTCCTTTTTATTTTTTTTAGTTTTTTTTGGGGGGGGGTATAATCACTTTATTTATTTACGTATGTATGTATGTATGTATGTATGTATGTATTTATTTAAATGGTGGTACTGGGGATTTGAACCCAGAGCCTCATGCATGCTAAGCATGCTCTCTACCACTGAGCTATACCCTTCCCCCTCCTCTGACTCCTTTTAAAATGTTTATACAAATGTAGTTTTTTTAAACCTGTTTTTTTTCTCTTTAATTAGCTTGCTTTTAAAAATTAGCTTATGATAACAGAAATCTGTGGTTACAACAACTGCAAAGCTTCAGAGTTGAGACTTCTGATCCCTTTTATTAAAAATTCCATGTAAGTAGGCTAGATAAAAAGGAAGGATAGCAGTTGGTTGATCAAAGAAGGTTTGTGTCAATGAATTTTAAATAATGAAAACATTTTGGCCTGAAAAGTTAAAATCATCAGAGTGTCTTCAAAGGCAAGTGTTTGGATTTTAGGAGAAATCGCCTATACTCCTATGACTTCAATGAAGCTATTTTTATTTCTGAAACAGAGAGCTAACATGAAAGACCTAGAGGATATAGTATTTTTAAAAATGCATTTGTTTTACACTCTTTTTGTCCAGAAGCTGCTGAGTTGGTATCATAAAGAAAAATGTTAGCTTAACTTAAAGAGGTCCAATAAATGACTAGTTCCAAAAATGAGTACATTTTAAACTTCTAAAAACAGTTCGCAGAAAAAGTAAAACAAAACCAAAGTGACCAGCCTTTCGTTGGAGCCCATCTGGCTTAGTCAAGCCCTTGGAAGAAGGAGCAATCCACTGAACATCAGGATGGGGGAGCAGAGCATTCTGCCATTGGACCATGCTCAATCCTGCACACAGCCAGCTTTGCACAGTACTTTTCAGCAAGTGTTGAGTCTCTACAAGTGAAAGACATCTACCAAATACTACATGAGTTCATAAAATATGCTCTAGAAAAATCTTTCTAGAAGAAAGATTATGTTATTCCAGCCATGAATGTAAACTAAGTATATACAAGACAGACCTGGGGATACTCAGGAAAAAAAATAAAGGAAAAAAAGGTGCAAGGCCATGCTAAGAAATTTTGAGCTTTAAGGGGAGGATAAAATAAGACACTGAAAGGTTTTAATGCAGAGGAATAAAATGATCAGTTTGCATTTTAGATGAATCACTTTGGTGGTTATGTAGAGAATGGACTAGAGAGAAACAAGCCAGGAGGTAGAGAGGCTAATTAGTTACAAGGCTGTCGTGAATGGTGAGAGATGCCTGGACCAGGATGGTAGCCATGAGGATAGAGAGAAGAGGACTGAGTCAAGGGCTAGGTATGGGATATATTCAATAGACTCTGGTAACTGACTGATTGGATATAAGTAGTCACGGTAAGGGAGAATTTCATCCAGGTTTCTGGCTTGGGCAACCTGAGTTGCATCATTCTGTGAAATATGGAACCTTGGAGAAGATAACTTAGGGATGAGAATTTTAAGTTAAACACATCAAGAGTGTATAAAAAAGAAATTCAAACAGACATTACATTTTTACAATAGTATTTATTAAAGAAGCAAGTTGATAAAATTAGAATATATTCCAAAAGCTCAATGGGCCAACTTCTAGTTACTCATTAGTTGCACAGAGTTCATAAAAGATACAATACACAAAGAATTCTAAAAATAAGTTTTTGCCATTAGTTTCAGTCTGCTCACTCTAGTTAACCTCTGAGAAGGCTGTGGTGGATGATGCTGTTACCAGTGTTTCACAGCCCTCCCTGCAGAAGGATTATCCACCCACTCAAGGTACCAGGTGACTTACAGGACCTCCTACAGAAGGATTATACCCTCCTGCATCACTAACATCAAGTTGGCAAAAGAAATGTGAATAGAAGTAATATATGCCACTTCTGAGCCTAAGTTTTAAAAGCTGGCACATGGTTTGTCCACTGCTCTTTTTCCCAGTTAGGGATTGCTCCTCCCGCCAGGATCCCAGAATGAAGAAGACAAGTGAGACTGAGCTATAGCTCACCAGTTGAATATAAGCATTACATGATACTGAGCTTTACAGATTGTTGGAACCACAGCATTAACAACGAAATATGCCAGACTTGGGATGGATGTAGGTGTCTAACAAACAGCAATGTGTGATTTGTGTTTCCTCTCTTTCAGTTGAATTTTTCTGGCAATCTGACAGCAAAAAAGAAATAGTTAGCCCAAGTATCCAAAACTAAAACAAAGAATTTTTAACTTGAAAGAAAACTTAATAGAGCTAAACAGTAATTATTTCAGGCTCACATGGACTCTGTTGCAACTACTCAATTCTGCAGACATCATACAAAAGCAGCCATGGATAGTATGTAAATGAATGAGCTTGGCTGTGTTCCAACAAAACTTTATTTACAAAAACAGGCAGCGAGCCAGATTGGGTCCACAGGGTTACAGTTTCCAGACCCCTGGCCTTCATATTGTCAATGAGGAAGCTGACACCCAGAGAGATTAAATCAAGGACAGACAGACAGCTGGTTAGTGGCAAGTTTAGCATTAAAATGCAGGTCTTGTGAATGTAATGTTCTAGAATAGGTTCTGCTGGGTCACAAGATGGAGATGAAATACACAGGAAAAAATAAGGCAGAGAATGCTAAGGGTAGGTTTTGATTAGTTAAACAGCTTTCAATGTCATAAGATGGAATAGGTGAATGAATGATAAATTAGCCAGTGTTTCAAAAATGATCTTCAGAGGAAACATAATTTTACACTTCCTACTATCATTTCCTCCAAAACTTTATCATTTCTTTTATCAACAGGACAGCATTTGCTCTGATCACAGTAGTAACCTATCTGAAGGCAAAACAAGTTTTTTTAAAAAAACCACAAAATAAGCAAAAAATACACTAGACCAGCAGGCAATTATTTCATATGGTATTTTAAATTTATTTTCCTTTCTTTTAATTTCCAAAGTAATATTCATTGGAGGAAACTCAATACAGAAGTATATAAAGTGACACACTCAATGCCCTCCTCAATTCCACTCCCCAGTGTTAACATGTGACTGATTTATAACAGAACATTGCAATAAAGCTACTTTCTCTGAGTCATTCTTTCAAAAACAAAGAGGAATATGGGTTCCCCTGGCCAGATACCCTTTGGAAATCATGTTTTAAAAGGCAACAGACAGTTTAGGGGTTGTCTGTGGCCTAGAATTGAGAAAAGCAAGCTGCCTCTGCAGGATTTAAATGGAAGGTCTTGATCCCAGCACTGTAACCAGATGAGTGAGGCTCCTCAAATACCTTGATAATGCTACTGTAGGATACATGAACACTTCAAAAATGCCTAAGAATATCCATACCTTCTCTTTTGGTATTTTACTGGGAAAACTTGGGCCTATTTGCTTATAAAAAGATCAACAATCTCAATCAGTCTTTCCTTTTTTTTAATCTGTACTTGGGTGACATCAGTGACAGTGGGGCAGAATAAAGAACTCCAAAAGTCTGTCCTCCATAAAAGCAATTAAAAACTGGCAGAATCAACTTTTTTGGAACTCTGAAAATTAACCAAAAGTTTGCAACAACCACTTGATGCATTTAAGTACAGTAAAACACTTAAGAAAAACTAGCTGGGTTTTGGTTAGAGTAGTGAGCTTTGTGGCATTTTAACTTACCCTGGTCCCATCCTCCTTTCGCTAGCTCAGTGGTAGCCTTGAAAATAACAGCCTGCTTTCCTGGTACCAGTACCAGTACCAGAGGGTGCAGAACAGACCTCATTCTTCACCAAAGATGACCTAATGTTTATGCCAGTTATAAACGTCTGGTTTTTGAAGTGAAGAAAAAAAAGTGAATGAAGAGCCGTAAGTAGTAAAACTTCCTTCTTTCTTTTGCATGAGCTGTATTCCACTACATATATATGCTGCACCTTCTTTATCCATTCATCTACTGATGTGCACTTAAGATGCTTCCATTATCTTGGCACTTACAAATAATGTTGCTGTTAATAGCAGGGTGTATGTATCTTTTTGAATTAATTCTTATTTTGTGGCTGGTTTTATTTCTTTGATAACTATGTAAGTTTAAAAAGCTAAAGCTCTAAACGTTCTTAGAAACAATGAACAGTATATAAATATGTAAATTTAAAAAATAGGTGCAGCATATTGTGTATATGTATTTACATGCAATATATTGTGTATGTGCAGTCAAATGGTAACAATTCTACCTAATAAAACTGAAAAATGGAATGGGAGGCAAGATGGCGGAGTAGAAGGATGCTTGTAAGTCACCCTCTCCCACAAATACACCAAGATCCACATCTACAGACGCACTCAGCCAACCAGAGCACCTGCGGAACTCCC